ACAGGAAGGTCACGATGGGTTCTGGTTGCAAGTCCAGCTTTTGCACTGAAGAAGACGGCTGTGGCAGAGAAGGTGCCGTGGTGACGGCCCAGCATGAGGCTGGCAGCCCGGGAGATGCCACCCTTCCTGCCACCACTGCTCTCTGCCTTGGGAAGCCCTGGGGCTTCCTGTCACCTCTAAGCCTGGCTCCCCGGAGACTTGAGGTTCTTCTGGCTTCGGCTTCTCAGCAGGCTGTACCTCTGGCTTCACCACAGGCTTAGAGTAGGCTTTTCGTCTGCCCCTGGGAGACTGAAGGAGACGGAAGCCCATTTGGGGGGCCATGTCCACCATCCTGCCGGTTTCCCCTTGCCAGCCCTGTCTGGTTTTCCTGGGGCAGCCTCCAGTCTGGAGAGCCTCCACCACCAGCTCTGTCCAGCAAACCAGACTCCTCAAAATTAGGGTTACCACATTTGGCAACCAAAACACAAGGACACATGGTTCGATCTGAATTTCAGACGAACACCAAGCACTTTTAAAAGTATAAGCACATGCCATGCAAAGTTTAGGACATACTTATACTAAAAAAATGATTATTTGTCTGAAATTCAAATTTCGCTAGGTGGCCCATATGTCGTCTGACAACATGCTGCATACCGACAATATTTCATGAACTGAATCCCAGCAGATGCAAGTTATTGGGTGTGGGGGCACGAGGGGCACCCTGTTGAAAGGAATCCTATACAAGCTTGTAAAAAAGTGGAGATTCCCTCCCATTTTTGGTGTAGAAATTATCAGCTGGACACGGAGAAGCAAATAGTGTGGCATTCGAGCCCCTGTTATGAACACCCTTGTTTGTAACCCCCTTGGTATTCCACTGTCCCTGAACAAGGGTCTGCTCAGACTGGCCAGGAGCCTCACTTCCCAGCACCAGCCCGAACTTACCCCACCTCCAAGCTCTTGCCCATGCTGTTCTCCTCTTTCCTGCTCCCTCCCCGCTCCACAATCTGAACTGGACCCGCTCTTTTCTCTGCTGAGCGAATGCACCTCCCTGGGACCCCCTTGGACAGTTTCACAGGGGAGCCAGAGCTGGGCTGAGCCTGAGGATGCTTCTGCCTCTACAAGGCGGTGTTAGATGTCCCCCGAAGCAGGCTTGAAAGAGCAGCTTCTCCCCAAGTGACAGAAAGTCTCAAGTCAATAGATGGAATCGTCACCATTTTTCACTGCCAGATTTTTCCGAATCTTGTACATCTGAGGGCCTAGCGATGGAGGACAATGCAATCAGATGGCAAATAGTGACCTCAGATGTGTCCTTCACACCGAGCTCCATCTGGGCTTTTGATAGGCCCATGGGTTGCGGCAGGGATCCCATGTCATGTGCTCTCTTGCAGTACATCGAGCCTTTCCAGATGGCCTAAAATATTGTAATTTTTGTCCACATGATAGTAACAGAAGCTTGGTGGCCAGAAATATCCTGGGGGGGGGAAGGAGGGGTTGCCTAACTCTGGGGACTCACTGAGCTCCAAGGTGATACCAATGCTCACGTCACCAGGTTTGACTTGTCCCAGGGGGAAGCTGGCAACATGTAATAAGATCTACGAAACTAACCAGGACCTTGCCCCTGGTAACATCACTTTGGTAACTAGTCCTAAAGACACAACTCCATGGGAAATAAAATAATTTACACGGAGACCAATTTACACCAAGAAGAAAAACTGGAAGCAGCCTAAAGGGCCCAAATATAAGAAAAGGTCAGTAAACAATAGCATGAACATGATCAAACACAGTTCACTCTGCAGTTAATGGTTCCCAGGAAAGCCTGGCTGACCAAGTGCTGTCTGGAGGACACGCCCCGGCAGGGTCCTGAGGATACATAGACAGGTGATCGTGACCTGGTTCTGCCCAGAAGCTTCCGGGGCCAGGGGAGGCCCCAGGTTGTCAGGTGACCCCAGCGCAGGGAGATGTGCCCTAACTGAAGCCAGTACAGATAGCCCTGGCCATGAAAGGGAGCCACACATTCGGCTTAGCGCTCCAGAGACTCCACCGCGAAGGTGCTGCTTGAACATCAAGAAGTGGAGGATTTTGGCAAGAGGAGAGCAATCCAAAGGAGGGAGCAGTTTGGGGCACGCCAGCGCCGAGGGGGAACATAGTGTGAGGGGCCTGGGTTGTAGCCCCCAGGTGACAAGGCATGGGAGACCTTTGTGTGTTTCTGTGTGGGTTGTTTGGGCCGTAACTGGGATGAGGAGATACTGGGGGTGGGAAGCTGAAGGTCTTGGGAATGGAGAGAGGCAAGCACAAGCTGCTCCATGTGACAAGTGTCTACATGGCGAATATCAGGGAACATGTGCAGGAGATGCGGTTACACCGCAAAAGGAAGCCTCACAACGGTCTGTGCCAATATTTCTTCAAGACCCTGCTTTCCATTCTTTTGGGTGTTACACCCAGAAGTGGGATTGTATCTAAGGGTTTTGAGCAAGGGAAAAACAGGATATTATTTCTTCTGGGAAACACAGTCTGGCTGCAGTGTAGACAGTTTGGAGAGGCGAGAGGTGGCTAGGAGGCCAGTGCTGTCCAGTGGCTGTGGGGCAGAGGGATGTTGAAGTTAGGGCCGACGGGACAGGGCAAGGGAGAGGGTAGGGCTGCAGATGACCCCCGGGCTCCTGGCTTGTGTGGCGAGGTCAGCTGGGGGGATGCCGATGGCATAGGGGGCACAGTTAGGGGTGAGCTGGTGGACGAGCTGAGTTTGAGAGGACTTCTGAGTCAAGGTGTATTTCTAGATTCTGGTTCGGAGCTCAGGAGGGAGGTATGGGACGGAGATCAAGACTGGCCAGGGGCCCCCTGGGTGGCTCAGTCGTTAAGCGTCTGCCTTCGGCTCAGGTCATGATCCCAGGGTCCTGGGATCGAGCCCCGCATCAGGCTCCCTGCTCTGCGGGAAGCCTGCTTCTCCCTCTCCCACTCCCCCTGCTTGTGTTCCCTCTCTCGCTGTGTCTCCCTCTGTCAAATAAATAAAATCTTAAAAAAAAAAAAAAAAAGACTGGTCATGAATGAGCCAGAGGGTGGCCCAGAGGGCCTGTCCTCGTCTGGGGAGAGCCAGCAGGTTGGAAAGAGGGCCCAGGACTGAACCTGGGTGTCCTGACATTTAGGGGAAGTCAAGAAAGAGGGGCCAGCAGTGCCATGGCCCCCAGAAAGGGTGTTCTCAGCCAGGCTGAGAGTGTGGCAGCGACCTGAACCTGTCGCACTGGTCATCAGGGGGTCGCTGGTTGCTTCTGCCTGAGAAGTAACAGGAGCAGCCGTGGCACATATGTCCCAGGGCCTCCTTGAGCCAAGTGGGAGAATTCCAGACAGGAGGGGCCGAGGCTCCCTAGAGGCCTCCCTTGCAGGCAGCCCTACCTTGTGGGAGCAGATGGGACGGCACAGAAAAAACACGATGTGAGGGCAGAGCAGTGATCACAGGGCTACTACAGGCCAGGCTGGCAGTCCCCTGTGCAAGGGGACAACCCTGGAGACACAGCCCAAAGAAGGCTTGGCTTCCTGGGCCTCCCACCTTCGCCTCTGCCTCGATAAAACAACAGTCTCAAATAAGCAGGAACTTTTTAATCAGGGTTTGTTTTTTTTTATTCAAACAACAGCAACATAATCTTTCTTTACACTCCACGGTCTTCATTTCTCAGGGACAGAGAGAACTTGCAATGATGACATCAACTCCACACCACCTGGCAGCTCCCGACTCTGCAGGACTAAGACACTTCCCCAGAGTTCCGCCCCACCAGCCGGCGAGGACAAGACTTCTTCAGCTGTCCAGCTCAGGGGCATCCAGGCCTGCCCCGGCAAGGGGGCTTGCTTGGGGGGGGGTCTGACAAAGCACGAAGTGTTGAACAGGTAGCCCGGGGCTCCCAGGAGAAGCAAGGGCTTTCAGTAGTGCCCACCGAGCCTGCCCCAGGGTCTCAAGTCCCCTAACCAAGCACGAGCGCACCTTCCCTGACATTCTGCTACCACCAGCCCTGCCATACTCCTCGCAGCCTCTACTGCTGTGACCCTGGAAACGTCAGAAGATGCACCGGCATGGGGTAGCTGCAAAGCTAGGAGGTCTAGGACTAGGATTAGGACCGTGCAACCCTGTTTTCCCCTCCAGAGTGGAGTAGACTCTGTGCACTTTGTTTTGTAAGAAATAGGTGTAAGTGACAAGCGGGGCACCTCCCACCACAGCCCCCTCCCCGGCCCTGTGCAGGTGTCCGGTCCAGAGGCCCAGGCCTCAGTTTCTGGCACCTGGTGGCCACACCCAGAAATGCACCCCCTTTGCCCCAGGCAGCCAGTGACCCACCCGCCTGGCGTTTAACCGAACATCTCAACAGCAGGGCAGAGCGATCAAACACAGCTTCTCCGAGCGAACGCTTCTGGTCTGAGACCCAACCAAGGTTTCCCCTCCCTCCTTCAAAATGTAAAATTCTACAGTGTCCAGGGTCTTCCTCTCACAGACAGAACTCTCCCCAACCCACGAATTCTCTCCTGGCCCATCTACAGAAACTAAGAGGGAACCCAAGCCTCTTTACATAGACGAGCTGGTGGCTGGGAACCAGGCCCCCGATGGAAGACAAGGCAGGGGGATCGCCTGAGGCCGCTGTGCCTCCGGCCTGGGCCAGGGCTGGTGCAGAGCAGCTGCGTTCCCCAACAACGGCCCGGCTCCCCGCTCACCTGCAACCCCAGCCCCTTCCCCTCCTCTGGCTGCGCCAGCAACTCCTAACTCCCCAGTGTGCGGTCCAGCTGGAAAGTGGCGAGGCTCCGCTGGGAAGCAGGGACCAGACACAGGACAGCGGTGCGTGGCCAGGCCCAGTGAGCCCCATCTCCTGAGACGGCTGTTGCCACCGCACCAGCCCTCCGAGGAACGCAGGCCTCACGTAGCCACAGCCTATGTACAGGGAACAGGGCCAGGGGAGGGGACCCCAAATGTCTTCTCCACGGGGAGGAGGAGCTATGTACACGGGAAGGGGACAGGATGGCCAGGGACACCCCCCCACCCCGACATCTCATTCAACCAGGAGATCAAACTGCTCAGCAGCTTCAAACTCCGCATTCATGGCCGCAGCCCATTCATCCAGCTCCGATTTCTAGGGGGAGAGAAAAAGTGGGCAGGTGAGTGAGGACTGGGGAAGGGGTGTGCTGGCCAGAGCATGTGAACCCAGACCCTGCAGGCGCTGAGCCCCAGGCTGGCCCGAGCCCCGGCGGCCTCCCAGGGCGCCTGGGGCGACAGCAGAGCAAAGCCCTGGCCCTCACTCACCAGGATCTCAGGCACCTTTCTCTTCTTGCGCTTCTCTTTCACGGCCGGTGGGGAGATCCCGGGGAGAGTTGTATCTGGGGCCCAGGGCTTCACAGGGACCCTGGGGGCTTCGGTTAACTTGGAACACACCACAGGCGAGACTCGGGCCAAGTCTTCTGACCCCAGCAGCCCCTCGAAACCAAAGCAAGACCGGCGGCCTGGGGTGGAGGTGGAGGCGGAGCCGAAGGTCTCCAGCCGGCTGTAGGATCGCCTGACCTTCTTAGACATTTCCAAGTCTCTGGCGTCCAGCTCTTCTTCCCTGAAGTTGGACTCAACATTCAGTGGGTAGAGCACCGGAGTGGTGGTGGGGGTGACGGGTATATTACATGCCTTGAAGAGATCCTCCTTAGCAGGCTCCTTGCTAGGAGGGTTGTTTTCCTTCTCCAAGAAAAAAGCAATCTGGACCGGGACAGAAGAGAGAACACCTCCTTGTTAGTTAGCCGTATTACATACTTCCCGAAAGGTCTGAGGAGATTCAGGGTGGAAAGACCCATAGGACACTTATAAAAGAAGACAGGTCAGGCAACACATTGGACCTTGAGACAGACCTGGGGAAGAATCTGTCTGTCCTTGCTTCTGAGTCCACTTTGGTAATGCAAGAAGACTCCTCACCACCGGGTGTTGTCAGCTCTGTTTCCCAACAAAAAGTGACCAGAATCTAGCCACCCCTACTGGCCGCAAACCCCCATCACGTCATCTAGAGCAGTTCGACAAGCTCCTGACTGCTCTGCCTGCTTCCACTTGGGTCCTCTGGTCCATGTGTCACATAGTTGGCGATGGTTTTCCTAACATGTCCATCCAGTCAGCAAGTACTTTCCGGGCACCTGCCCTGTTCCAGGTACTTTCTAGGCACTGGGAGCACAGCCGGGGATAAAACAGAGAAAGCCCTGTCTCCATGGAGCTTCCATTCTAGTGGGGGTAAAATAGGTAACGAACAGGGAAAAGTCATGTAGCATGTTAGAAGTGTTAAGCACTTTGGATAAAAACAGAATGAGATAGCACTGGGGGTGGGTTGGGATTTTAAGTAGGTGAAGGTCTATGGGAGGCCTCACTGGGGGACTGTCTGAGCTAGAACTTGAAGGGGGTGAGGGAGTGAGTCACATGGAGGCCAAGTGTTGTAGGCAGAGGGAACAGAAGGTGCCCAAGTCCTGAGGTGCAGGAATGTCCAGAAAGGTAAAGAAATGAGGCCAGTGTGGCTGAGCGAGAGGAAGTGAGGAGGAACTGAAGATGGGGTTCGAGAGGTAATGGGGGCTGCTAGAGGGCCTTCTGTAGGACATTGGAAGGGGAGGCCCATGGAGACCCTTGCTCTGAGACCCAGGGAGCCACGGCAAGGTTGTGAATGGGAAAAGGCCTAGTCTCATACGTGTATTAAGAGGTTCACATGTTGGCTCCTTAAAATTCCACTCTCGGCTCAAATGCTGCTTCTTCAGAGAAGCCGTTTTTGTTTTGTTTTTATTTGACAGAGAGAGACAGCGAGAGAGGGAACACAAGCGGGGGAGTGGGAGAGGGAGAGGCAGGCTTCCCGCCGAGCAGGGAGCCCGATGCGGGGCTCGATCCCAGGACCCTGGGACCATGACCTGAGCCGAAGGCAGACGCTTAATGA